AAAGAAACTGAATAAGATTAGGTAAAGAAATTTGAGATTGAAATTGAAACTAGAACTCAACTAAATTGAAGATTAGAGTAAAGAAATTGAACTAGAATATTGAATATTGAGTAAATAAATTGGAAATTAATTGAAGTAAATTGATATGAAATTGTAAAAATTTTCCGCGCATTTATAGCAAAAAAAATGTATCAGTTTTAACTATATTTGAATTTCAAATTCAAATTTTGAAAATTTTAAACGTAATCTATCTTTTCAAATGAAGACTGCCTTTGACAAGAGACAACTGCCTGCAACGTGCACGCTTGTTAAGTTTTTTAAGTTATTTTTTTGTTACTTTTCTTACAAGCTACATCTGTTGTATACAATTTTTTTTTTTAAATGGGCTCTGCTAGGGCTCGGCTCGAGCCTCGAGCCGGCTCAGCTTGGGCTTTTGCGTGCTGAGCACGAGCGGTCCGAGCCATCGAGCCACTTGGCAATCCCTACTTAATCCTTGGTGTGACTATTTTCAACCATGGTTTTATTTCTTCATTTAAAGGAGTTTGATTCCTCTTTGGATCTATATAGAAATGCATGATCAAAGAATGAAGTATTTCTCGATTCCATCATCATTTTTTTGTATATTTGGGATTTTAAACTGATACATATGAAATTGATAAATACTACTATTACGTGCATAGATAATGAAGATGCAATCTACAATTTTTGGGCATATTTTCACCTTCTTTAGTATAGGTACATCCATTTAGACAAGACACCCCACATCACAAATATTTATCTAATTACTTTTTTTTTTGGGGCACCTTATTAAAAGGTAATTTGTCGACAATACAACTTCTCTCCATATGTTATGAGGTAATTCAGAACTTACTAACATTGTATTCATCATTTTCAAAGTATAATTTTTCTGTTCAACAACACCATTTTACTAAGATAAATTAGGTGTTGTGGTTTCATGTGTGATTCTGTGTTGTGCATAGAATTCAACAGAGGATACTTTCTACTCAACAACTCAATTACTTTTTACCACCTTAATTCTTTTTAGTTGATTTTCAACTCCATTGTTAAAGAGAAAAAATTTCTCTATAGATTTGTTCTTATTTTTAAACAGATACACCTATTAATATTTTATGCTATCATCGACAAAAGTAATGAAATACTTGTTGCCACCTTTTGTTTATACAAATTTTAAATTACATACATCACTATGAATTAAATCATATGATTCTATATATTTTTCAACAAAATTGAAATGATGACCTTGTCAATTTTACCTCAACACAAATTTCGTAATTATGTTTAAATTCGATATCGAACGCAGGTGTTCAATTCAAATTAATTAATTTACACAAAGTATCATAATATGTCTTGTTTACAATGTCGCGAATTGAAAGACATGAGCAAGAAAGCACGAGAATTAGTTTTAGTCATTTTCAACTTGACAACCATAACATTGAACTTAAAAAACATATCAGACACTTACCCCTTGCCAACAAACATTTCACTGACAGTATAACTTTCATTGACTCAAACATTATATGAAAACCATGTTATTCAGAATTTTTGACACACAACATATTGTTAAGAGATATCTCTTTCTTGGAAGTCATCTTCAGAATCAACTTGCCTTGAACTTTAATTTCATATATTAGAAAATTTCCCATAAACAATTCTTCTCATTCTCAATTGCTTCAAATGAAGTGAACGACTCTTTATCAGAGCAAACATATCTCCTAGCTTTGGTATCAATCCACCACTCTTTTATGTTTGAATCCACCAAATTCACTTCAGAAATAATGGTTGTGAGGCTCATTTCGAACACATCGTGTACCATGTAGTAAGCCACATTTTTTCTTCTTTTTTTACAATCTACGCTTTGAAAATTTATGATATGCTTTGTCAGAGTTGTAGCACTTTCCTTGAAATTTCTTCTTGGAAACTCAACTCTTTGGTCCTAACTTGAACTCTTTGCACTAGACGACCCAGATTTGTTATGTAGATCTTAGAAGTTTGACTGTACTCTACAATATTTGCTTTACCACAAGTGCATTGAACTCTTTCTTTTTAGAACTTCTGGTTTCTTTTTCAATCTAAGTTTAACAGTTAGTTCTTCAATGTTTATTTTCTTTCGCTTGTACTTATGGCAATTTTTTGAAATACTTCTATGTAAGATGTAGCTTCTAAATAATAGCAACAACTTAAAAGTTTCACTCAAGATCATTAATTCAGCATGAATCTTAAGTAACATCACTTGGCGTTCACGTACTTGACTAATAATGGTTTTGGAATCTACCATCTTATAATCTAGGTAATGGCAAACAAAAAGTTTCTTAGATATATATTTTCGGTCTAAAGACTCCTATAGCTCCTTAACCATTTTCATCATACTATACACTTATTATAGTGAATCAAGCAACTGTTAATGACATAATTAAGGTACAAGAAATCAAAATATTTCCCAGCATTAAGTGTGCTAATAGTTTGTGTATCTCCCCCATCCTCTTTGAGTTTCGAAGTTTTCTCAATCAAGAACCTTGCAAGATTCAAGGTAGTGATAAAACAAAATTTTCTGTTGTCACCTTTTGAAATTCAGTCCTTGGAATTTCTCCATTATTTCTCTACAATTAACCAATATCATTACAATAGGACCAGTTATTTGAGCCAATGTTTGGTCACATCATGAATTAGTAATTTGGCTACAACATGAATCACAATAGGAATGGAAATTGAGCCATTTCTGGTTTTCTACAACCATATTCATATAGGTTGATTCGGTTGTCATTTCTAAAAACCAAAAAAATGTTAGTTCCTTAACAAAAATAAAACTAACAATCTGTTTGTTCTTCGATAAAATTTGTGTTAAGATTGTTAGTAAAAAATGCATAACATAGAAATATGGGGAAGAAGAGTATTTTAATGACTCAAGGAAAGAAATTAGAATTGCAAATCGAGGCCTTTGTATTACACAATATTTTTAAAACAGATGCACTTCTCACCATAAATGCTTGAGGTTTCGTTGGGACTTCTGCCTTCAAGGATACAATAAAGAAATCAGTAGGAACCAAGCACTTAAGTTTCTATTTCGAAGAATTGAACTTGATCTAAACTATCACCAGAATTTGGAATCAAACTAGAAAATTTCAGGTAGACGAAAGGAAATATTTCAACTAGAAAAGTGAAGTTTTGTTTTTCTTTCTTGTGTGAAAAGTGACGAAAACCACATCTAATATAGAATATGATAAGTTAATTTCACTCATTAACAAAATTGTGAATAGATCTAAGGGACCAAATTTGATTCGACATTTGTGTATGTAGGTCATAATCGAATACGAGTACAACGGGTTGATGTGCTAAATCAGTTCGTGATTAGGGATGACAACGAGGAGGTGTAGGACCAGGGCAGCCATTTTTGTCACCTGCCTCGTAGATATTTTTACCTCCTTGTCGTGTCCCAATTCCCGTTTAAAGCGGGACGGGACGCATATGGGTAGGGATGGGACTAGTCCACTCCCCGTTTACCACCCCTTATTTTTTTAATTTTTAATACTACATTACCGAAAAATACAAGGCTTGCCACCAATAAATGTGCCTAAATGCGCATGAAGATCAATAGAATTTCTAATCCATCAGAGGTTGAATCAATCATCAAAAGAAGAATTAGGCCAAAAATTAGGATATATTTTGGGAAAATCAAACTTCCACCAGTTGGGGATGGTTTTGTTTATAAACTCATTTAATCTTTTCTTAATCTCCCTATCATTGATGCAGTACATGTCGTACATCATTCAACCTGCCTTATACTTGACTAAGACGAAGAAATGCCTCAAAGGAACTAAGAACAAGATTCTCTTTTGACTGATTATGGATTTAAAAGTTAATACTGATCATTTGCGAATTCAGACTTTCTCTAGACCAACATCTCGATCCACCAATTCAGTAAACCCCATTAGACTGCAGAGGCAAGTTAATCAACTGTCTCTATGGCAATATACCAACTTGAATGCATTAAACTCCACCCACATGGTATTAACAGGGTTACTCATAATTTTAAAAATTGGAATTTAAACGAGGTGGGTCACGGGTGAAGATAATGTTCCTTGTCCCTATCCCCGTTCTGGGACTGCGTTGCCTTGCTCACGTTTGTGCCCAAGTACCCAATTATGTGGGTAATTCTCTCCTTGTACGGGATGGGATGCACGAGTATCGAGTTTAATGAATTTTTCTGTCGATTTGCACTCTTGCGTGTGCACGCAGAGAGTATCTATGTTACACATAATTATACCTTTATAAAATGTGTCAATATATAAAGTAGTCTTTATCTTGTGGATTTTTCTATATGGAACAAACTATAATATTTTTCCCTCCAACACATAAATCTCTTGGTACACTTTAAACTTCAATTTCTCATTCATCCGAGCATCATTTTTGGCAAGTAATATATTATTTCAATGTTCTTACGAAAGAGAATATAAAATTATTTTGATCTTTCAAAGTGAGAAACGGGTTCCACTCAAAAGTATGTCAAAATAGCCCCCAGATTGATGCCATTTTAATAGTAAATTGAGTCCTATGAAATGCGCGAATTAAAATTATATTTGATCAACTTAAATTATGATATAAGCTTTGCCAAGCATGTTCTAATTGGGTATTGAACTCTAATCCAACGTGACATTCTTATCATGTGGGTGAGCCTCTAGTTGCGAGAGAATTACTCAAAGATATAATTCAAAGTTGAAAAGTTTCAGCTGCCTTGTTCAACACGGTTTATACAATTTTATAATAAAAGTATATAATGTACGTCCAAGGACATGTTAAACATGGATTTCCAGTCCACCCCTCAAACATGTAAAGCAACAAATAATTTACGTATTCTCACACGTAATGACCCAAATTCTCTGGACCAAAAAAAAGAAGAAATATAAATAATAAACAAAGAGAATAAAAGAAAAAAAAAAGAAAAAAGAAAAGAAAATTATGAACTAAACATCTTGATTCTTGAATCACCAGTTTCTTCTATGCCCATGTTGTCTAGGAGATTTATGATGATCTGTTGGTCCATTGATGACACTTCTTGGAGATGACAATCCTTCATTGTTCACAATCTTTTTTTCACTCAATTTTCTAACATATGCTTTCTTCCTCTTTGGCTTCCTTGAACTTGAACTCTCTCCTTTAGTTGTAGGTATCAAATACCACCCAATCGAGGTGCACAATATTGCAAAAGATCGTCCGTAAAGAAGAAGCAGAATTAGAATCAATATGATAATCATCGGAACATAGTAATAGGGTTGCCTTAATTTTTGCCACTTGAAGTTTCTACATGCCAAGCACTTGTGTTTTCTCCTGGGTTCAGAAACCTGATCGGTATCAGTACTCGCAGCATTTGGAGCCTTTAAGGTTTCGACTGTTGGCTTGTCTGATTGAACTTGTGACAAATTCTGTTGGATTTTGACATCAGAAATGTTGGTTTTTTCTTGCTTTTTCTCCTTCACCTTAACAACAATAGGCTTGACGTCATTCGAATACGAGTACACAAATCGAACAAAAGAAATGTCTTCTGAGCCATTTTGTGCGTAAATCTTCTGTCTCTTCTCATCAAGATCAGCTAAAAGTGTGTAAAATTTGTCCAAACCACGACCTGCATAAGGGTTTTTGCTTTTATTTCTGAAGAAACTTGTGCCCTTTTTAGATCTCTTTGGGGTAGAACAAGGGGTTTCAGGGTGGTCATCTTCTACTTGATTGAAGCTTCCACTGCCACAAATGAACATCTGAAAAATTAAGGTTTTGATTGGTGTTTTTTTTTTTTTGGGAATAATTTGGATTTGATGAAACAAGAAACAAAGTGAAAAGGTACATTGTATTTATTTAAGGTCGTTGGAAGACTCGATCATTGGGAACTCGCTAGTCAAACAAATACAAAAAATTACATAATTACATGGAAGCTTCTGTTAAATGTAGATATTGGATTCGGGCGTTTGACTTCTTGCAGATATATTTCAAGGGCCTTTTAGTATCTTTACATTGTTAAATATATATACTTGTACCTGACTCACTTATTTCAATGTTAACCAACAAAATAATTATTTCGTTTAGAAAAATTGACAATAAAAATACTCAAAATATGGAAAATAGGTGTTTAAATAAAATTTTAAAAAAATTAAAATATAAAACTTTAACAAATAAAATTATAAAAATTTAAAATTCAAGAAAGTCATTTCAAAAAATAAAATTATAAAAATTCTAGAAAAATAAAAATTATAAAAAATGAAAAATAAAAATAGTTTTCGGTAATGATTATTTACATAAAAATTTCAAAAAAAAAAAATTTTTTTTAATGAAATCAGAAATTTTTTTTTAAGTCCACGTCATTAATTTTTATTTTTATTTACTATATTTTAAAATTAATTTATTATTATTAATTTTATTTTTTTAGCAACAAAAAAGTATTATAAGATTCGTCAAATTTAAAATGTATAATAATACTCGATAATATATTAACATGAAAATATTATATTTTTATTAACAATAAAATTTAATGAAATAAAATGTCATAACACAATTTTTCAAAATTTCAAACTAAACATGTTTTCTAGTTTTTAGTTTTGAGAAATAATCAAATCAAATGCGTTTTTAGAAATCTTAAATCATACATTCAAAACAGAAAATAGAAAATGAACTTAAAACTCAAAATCGAAACACAAACCTTAGTCTCTTGATCATAGAAAAGGAACCAATTGCATTTCAATATTTCATTATATATAATTACACAATCATTAATAACAAGTCATCCAAATTTTCATTAAAATATCATGTGATCCACACATATCCAACTTTATGAATCTATATTTAGTTTCCAAACTCACATCCTGAAATTTTAATTTTAACATCTTTTAACGAGGCCATGTGACAATTTAACATAAGTCTTCTTCAGTTGAAAATGATTGTACTTTGTTGACAAACTCCTCCTTTTCGAGACAAATTCGCTTTTTGAGCAATAAATTGAAGTCGAGTTGTATAATTTTCTCGCGTAGAACTCTCCTCTTACCAACTTTCTTGAAGTAGGGTTGGTATAACTTCCCTAAAGGGCATGGAGCCACCCTCTCAACTATCTTTTCAATAGTGGGTGGCTCTCTATTTCTCCTCCCTAAAACTATGAAATAAATTTTGTGACTTACATATTTATCTATACGTATATATCGACTAAAAATGTAATATGGGTTAAAATTATTCATTATGATTATAAGTTTACTATACGTATTTCTTGAAACGTTTATGTTATTTGAGTGGTTGAAACTCAATAGGTTTATCTTATAGATGGCAATATTAGAAAAGAAACATGATAATATTTGAAAGGATTCATCCATTATTATAGTTATCATTGTTTGACCATCTGAATTATGCATTTTCATGTAATTACACTTGACGTGATAATAAAATAAATCTTATTTTAAATATACTTTAAGACTTTTCTATATTATTCCTGTGTTTCCTTGGGGCCTCATTTTGCCATTCTACATATATTCGTAAGTTAAAAATAAATAATTAAATTAAAAAATCATCTTTGTTTCTATTTACTCTTCTCTATTTCAATATAAACTACTATTCTGACAATATTCATTAATTTCACTTTGTTAATTCTAACAACTTTGACTAGAAAAAAAAAAAAAATATAATAATAATAATAAATCATGGCATAGATGCACCAAGAACTTGCCGTAAATATCGTGTTGCTTTAAAATTTGATTTAAAAAAACGTCACATACACACAAATATATATTGAAATAAAAATAAATGGCCGAAGTGTGACGTTTGTTTGATGTATTAGCATTGTTTTGTTTTGATTTGATTATGAAATGAAGTAATTTATTGATTTGAAAAATATACAAAACACAAAGAATAAACAATTATTTTGGAAGATTTTGATAGTCTAATATATTTAAAATATATATCAAAGTAACATTGACTGGTAAGAGAAGGGTTGATTTAGTATATTATTGCAACTATTAATTCACGCGTACCAATATTTTTTACCCTTTAAACGTGGATCAATTCATATTTTTTCAAAGATTATTCAAACTGGGATTGCATTAAGAATTTATTCAACGTTAATAAGATAGACATTGTTTGAACAAATCTACGATAATTTTCCCACTATAGCGTAACAACTTATCATTTCGTTAAGAATAATAAAGAAAAGACTAAATACAGAACCGAGAATAAAAGTCTTCGACCATGTTTGACTATGTTTAAAAGTTGTATTTAAGTAGCTTATTATTTTTGTTAGAAGTTACTTATATTTTAAATTTGCTTTATTTTCAAAATAGAACTTTTACCTTTATTAAGATTAGCTGAACATACTCGTATATGGCAACTTTAGGCATTTGTGTATTCGTGCTCTAACGTGGTCGTCACTACCATGTCCCAATTGAAGAACAAATTTTAAATAACTTGTTTTACTTTGAAATTTATTACATTAGAAAAATGAATTAGGTAACTCACATAATTTGAAAACAACTAAAAATTTTAACAACTTAATCAGAGGCCCCACTTACTAGCCCCACCAAAGGGGGAATTATAATTGAGTAAAGCCATTTATCCCGGCTCAATGACTGGAACAAATGACAGGGCGTCGAGGTGGTGCTCCAATGTGAGGACGCCACCTCGACCCCTTTTTTGGGCCTGGTCATTGAGCCGGGCCCAATAGCACAGTTCATTATAATTTGATCCTTCTCATATCATTTAAATCACATTTTTCTAAGAGGCATTAATAATAACAACAAATTTTCATGGAAAATGGGGTGAGCTGCTCGCTGGCCAGCGCACCCCAATAGTTCGCGTAAAAGAGCCGCTTGTTGACTTGAATGAGCTGGCTCACAAGTCGGGCAAGCGGCTTGAAAGCTGGCTTAGGCGAGCCTATTAGATCAAAATCTCCATGCACGGCTTTCAGCCGTGTATGTAGAAAATTAATTAATGGCAGATGTATGACATCTTTCATTTCTTTTTTTTTAGGGGTGTACACAGTTCAATTTAGACAATTTGTGATAAACACAACTACAGCAGAAAGAATTGACATAGTCCTTGTTATCACAAAAAAGTAAATAGATTGCTTACTATGGAAAAAATAGAGATTCACTAAAGTAAAAAATTAAAAAAGTAAATCGAAAATATGAAAAATAAACATGACATTCTAATTACTGGAAAAATATGGTTCAGCTAAAGATTTAAAAAAAAAAAAAAAACACCCCAACAAATCAGAATGAAACCACAACAATTAACTGTAAAATCTAGAAACTAAGTTAAAAAATAAATACTGAATTGAGTCATCTAACCAGGAAGGGTCAAGGGAGTCCAGCACAAATCCGAACAAAACAACACAATTACCATAAGTTTTTGAAAGGATATGAACTTGATATGCCACCCATTGTGTGGTTGAAAATAAGTTTGACTTTTTACAAATAATTTATAAATTTTGCCAAACGGCTAATGATCCACCATTTTCCATGTCCTTTTAGGGAATATGTATTTAGAATGCACTTGAATCGCGATTGAATAAGCAAAGGGATAAAAATCATCTCTAACGTCTTTGATAAGGTGGATGTGATGCTATTAAAAAGGAGAGGGAAGAAAAAGAAAAACTAAAACCCCTTATCTAATCGTGATACAACTTTCTTCAGATGGAGAATTTTATAATGTTGGATGATCGTGTGCTTTCGGAAGTGTACGAATTGTGATAAGTAATGAAGTAATTGTTTAAATTCGAATATCATCACACGGAGATTAATTACTCACAATTAATTTTTATCCCAAATCTAGCTTCAATCTCAATTAATGTGACAAGCTATTAACAAATCAAGAATTTATATTATAAATAAAACTAAACTAAATTATTCTAATTAATTTACGCTTGAAGACTTTTGTGATTAAGTAGTTAGGAATTTCGAATTTACATAGGTCAATTAACATTCATTCAATTCAATATCATTTAATGCCTTTTTTCACATCTATTATTAATCGAATTAACCAATTAAAACTTATAGTCTCTCTCGGCAAAAACTAACCATATTCACATGCTCGAATTTAATATATTTCTATATAAATTTATATACATATAAATGCATTAATTAGTAGAAATTTAATCAAGATTGCATGGATTATAAGTTTATCTCTCAATCTCTTATCACAATCTATGACACTTATAGCACGATCTAGACATATATATTTCCTCTCAATCTCAATATTGTCCTTGGATCAAAACAATTGGTGTATAAACAATTAAATGTCAATTGTATTAAACTTGTGTACAACAAGTTTGACACTGGAAGACGTGGAAAAATTTGTGCCGTTAATTGTTTAAAATGTTAAAATTGATTTATAAAAAGTAGTCAGTTCAAAATGATGTCAAACTTGATGTACATATGGAAGATTGACGTCAATTAAGAACAGGATAAACAATTAACACATAATCAAAGTTGTATGAAATCTTTTGAATCAAATAAACATTATAATTAAGCTACATTTTAATAATCAATTATCTATCTGCTTATAATTACGAAATTAAATAATAAAATGATTAAAAATATAATAAGGAAGAAAAGAATTCAAGTGATTATTGTTCTTCGACAAACAATTCTCAACAATGGATTTTCAAACTCTTGGAATGATTGTAAATTTCCCTTGCCAATTGATGATTATCAACTGCCAAATCCCAATTTGGAGCCACAAATATTGAGAATTTGTGTAGTTGGCCTCAACAATGTATTCCTTCAAG